TTTTTCCCCATCAACTGTCCAGATGTTATTTTAGATTTATTTTTAACTTAAAAAAAAAATTGAGAGGGTGGAGATTTAAATATTCTTCATCCTGAACATTTGATAGGCAAACACAACTGATGAACAAGGTAATCACATTAATTATCAGCTTATTAAGAAAAAACTGGTGGAAGAAAGGTTTTGAAAGTGATAAAAAGATGCTTTGCAAACTTATTTAATAAAGTTTAAAATTTTGTTGGATAGTCTACATGGTTTCACTAGGGGAAAGTCTTGCATACTAATCTTTTGACATTATTTGTTATTATTATTATTTATTATTATTATACATAAGTTTCTACTTATGTTGATTATGTTAATATTGTGGATTTGATGTATTTGGATTTTCAAAAAGCATTTGGCAAGGCATCACATACAAAGCTTGTTAAAAAAAAGTATTTTTATGGGTGTGGGGGATAAGTTGGGTCACTAAATTAAAAAAAATGGCTGGAGGAAAGAAAGCAGAGGGTGTTAATGTCACAAATTGGGTACCTCAGGGTTCAATATTGGGACCTTTTCTCTTTTTTATTTCCATAAATGACAAAAAACAAGCAATGGTCAATAAATTACTTAAATTTGCTGATGATATTAAGGTCTTGGGTGTTGCTGGGTGTGAGAAGGATGCTGTTCTTTACAAAATGACATTGATCATTTGTGGAGTTGGGCAAATAACTGAAAGATGACTTTTAATTATAATAAATTATTCAAATGTAACGTAATACATGTGGGTTATTATAACTTAAATTATAAATACAATTTTCATGGGAATAACCTTAACAATGTTATGGAAGAAAAATATCTTAGTGTTTTGGTTGACCAGACTTAAGCCATCCAAGCTAGTGGTACGGCAAATAGGACTTTGAGTTGTATTTACAGGTTACAGTTTCATTGTTTAGGTCATTAGTTAGAGCTCATTTGAAGTATTGTGTTCAATCTTGGGATTCTTAACTTAAGGAAGTGAACTGTTAAAAAATGTTCAAAGTAGAATTATGTACTTGGATGGAAAGGTTGTCACACAAGGACAGGTTCAGATCTCTGAAATTTTCTCCTGAAAAAGTAGAAGGGATCTGATTGATATGTTTAAGATTATTAAGGGTATTGAACATCTTGATGCATCATATTTTCTTGTATTTAATAGTGAGATTGGTAGGGCAATGGGATACAAGTATACATTTTGATAAGGTAGGAACCATCTTCAGCTTAGTTTTAATTTCCTATTGGGGCAGTTGGCCTTAGAAATCAACTGCTTTCAGATGTGGTAGTCCCTGGTATCGAAAAGGTTGAGAAACAGTGATTTGGATAACATCCAGATAATTTCTCGCTTAAACTTTGCATACTATTTAAAATTTCCTATCCATATCTAACACAAGGAAGAATCCCTTAAAGAGTTACATGGTATTTTCTGTCCTTTCAACTTTACTGTAGCTATTCATTCTTTCTGCTTAACTCCTCTGATTTGTAATTACTCACAACAACTGCTGCAATATGCACTGCACAAACTAAATCTTCCTTTGCTTCTACTACTTTATCAATATCCTGAACTTATTCTCTGTGACCTCAATGAGCCAGTTAGCCTTCTGTCACCTTATCTTTTTTTTTTTTTTTTTATGTGTGCATTTGAGGAACCATAGGTGTTTTTACTTCAACCAAAAAAAGCAAACAAGTGAGAATTGATGGTTGTAATAATGAAATAAAATATAACTGTATTTTGCAAATACTAATTATTAGTTAGAAAGGTCGAGTTTGATATTAATATTACTGTACAAAAGACGTACAAGATTGTGACCTAGAACATTTTCCGATTCCTTTGTATTAAATAAGCAAGTACATGTAGATCCATTTCAAGCATAATACATGGAAACCATCATATTATCTTGGCCAGATAATATTTTCCAAGGGTTTTGATGGAGTTTAAGGATTGGATATGTGATCCACTTACTACTATTTTATGTAAGTCCTTGAATAGTGGGCAGGTGCCAAAGGATTGGAAGTTGGCTAATGTCACTGCTCTTTTCACAGGAGGTAATAAACATTATTCCAGTAATTATAGGTCTATTAGTCTTAGATAAAAGTTCTGATAAAACCTGCTTTACAAAGTCATTTACCAAAGTTTAGAATTTTATTGGATAGTCAACATGGTTTCACTAAGGGAAAATCTTGCCTTACAAATCTTTTGACTTTCTTTGAAAAGGTTACTGTTTATGTACATGAGGGTAAGGGTGTAGATTTGGTGTATCTGGATTATCAGAAAGCATTTGACAAGATACCACATATAAGGCTTGTAAAAAAAGTAATATCTCTATAGGTACAGTGGATAAGTTAGCTAATAGGATAGAAGAGTGGCTGTATGGAAGAAAGCAGATGGTTGATACAAATGGAGTTCAGTTACACTGGATTCATGTCACAAGTTAGGTACCTCAAGACTCAGTCTTGGGACCTTTGCTCCTTTTGATTTATCATACATTGATGACAAAGAGGAAGGAATGGTCAATAAGTTACTTAAATTTGCTGATGGTGTTAAGGTCTTGAATGTTGCCAGCTGTGATAAGGATGCTGATGCTTTACAAAAGTATTTAGAACATTTTGTGAGTTGGATAAATAAATTGCAGATGGGTTTTAATTATATTAAATGAAAATAATGTATGTGAGTTGTCATAATTTGAATTATAAGTACAATTTGGATAGGAATAATCTTAAAAGTGGTATGAAACAAAGGGATCTTGGTGTAGTAATTGATCAGTCTCTTAGGTTATCCAAGCAATGTGCTGTTCCTAGTGGTAGGACCAATAGGATTTTAGGTTGTATATACAGAAATATTGAATACAAGTCTAAAGAGGTTATAATTTCATTTTATAGGTCACTGGTTAGGCCACAATTGGAGAATTGTGTTCAGTCTTGGGTTCCTTACTTTATGAAGGACATTGAATTGTTGGAAAGGGTTCAGAGAAAGGCTACTAAAATGGTGCCTGGGATGGAGAGGTTGTCATATGAGATGAGGTTAAGATCTCTAATTGTTTTCTCTTGAAAAATGAAGAGTTAAAGGGGATCTGACTGAGGTGTTTAAAATTGTAAAGGGAATTGATAATGTTGATGCATCATCTTACTTGCATACTTAACAGTGGCAATAGTATTAGTAGGACTAGGAAATACAAATATAAATTTTGTTTAGGTAGGAATCATCTTCAACTAAGACTTCTATTTTCTAACAGGGTGGTTGGCCTCTGCAATGGGTTGCTTTCAGATGTTGTGGAGGCAGTAAATTTAAATGAATTTAAGAGATAGCTTGATAACTATGTGAATGATAAGAGCTGGTTATAAGATTTAATCTTTTTTTTTAACTTGTTTATTTAATAGTTTTAGTTTAGAAGATGGTAAAGCTGAGATGGACAATTAGGTCCCTAAATATTATGTTAAGGTACCAAACAGGACCATTACTGCCAACAGTAACTCATAAACTAATCACAGTTAGAAATAAAACTTAAAGGGAACATAGCCAGATGTTTATAAATCTTTTCCATTCTCACTTCCCATTATATGCAGAATATAGAATGCATAAACCAAAAGCTTTTACTCTGTCACTACTTACGATAATCTTCTAAACTACAAGATCACATCTTACTCTTCTCTTATCAAGAGAAAATATATAAGAGATCTTACCCTATCCCTCTAACTTACAATAACCATTTCACCTCGTGAATCATCCTAATAGCCCTCCTCTGAACCATTTCCTCTGATTTCTTGATGCTATATACTGAACATAACGGATCAAAATGACAAAAGTTTCACATTTGGAAAATACAGGCTAGGCTCCAATTGAAGAAACTTTTATTCTTTTAACAGGATGATTGTCTTATAGAATTTTGAAGGAGTCGTCACTGGCAGTATTAGAAGCCAGCATTTTAGAGGAATTTAAGAGGGTAATCAATTATTTTTACTCAAGGCTTGGTTAACAATTATAGCCTTGAAGGATCAAATAGTCCTTTGCTGTCTAAGTACGTTACAATATCATTAATATATAATGCAACTGCAAGAGCATTGTCAGGAAAAATGGTTTAGGAATGTATGAAAAAGATGCCCATTTTGGAACAAACTTTAATTCCCCAAGCCTCCATACTTATAGTTATGTGCAAATTAACAACAAAAACAATATTATTAAAACAACAATGATATATTCAAATATGATGAATGTCCAGTAGTCCTGTTTCTCAGTGGAAAGTGAAGGACCAAGTGCCAATACCATTTTACACTGTACTAACCAGGCAAGTACCATACTGTAAAATTACATTCTGTCCAGGATAAATCTGTCACATTTTCATTTATATTTGGGCAATTAAATTTTAAATACACTCAGACTGTCCTAGCCAGTTTGAAACTATGATAGTGCTTAAAAGTTAAACTGAATAATTCAAATTACAGTATGTCAATCTTACAAAGTTATATATTATTAAGAAGGCCCAAAGTATTTCAGAAATTACTTAAATACGTATAATTGCAATGCAAGTATAAACAATCAAGATGCACCATGATCTAAAACAAATTTCCCTAAAAAAATTCCTGGCAACGCCCATGAACTGTAACTTTTAAACCCCATGTTCATTATTCAAATAAAATTTGATTTTAATCATTAGAGTACAGTACCAACAAACCTAAAAACGTATGCTAACCATTTTATTTACAGGTAATTAAATTTATATCATTTATTCAAATCTGAGGCTTTTAACGTTGTACCTTCGATTCATCCCAGAATAACTTGTAATAAGTATAAAACTTAATACATTCTGCTGTGTACACAACGATTTTACGTACGGTAGTACTGAATAGTAGTAGTACTATCTGCAGTGTATAATAGAAAAGAGTGGTAAGTAGGCTTAGTAGTACTATGCTGTGCATCTATAAATAAAAATTTAAAGAATGAAATCGAATGTCAATATATTATTTGAATAAAATAAAGTAATACTACAAACCGGTGTTTCAAATGAAAACACACATTCGTCTTTAAACACTTGTTCACCTCCAAGAGGTGTTCGGATTTTTGATAGATGCTGATTTAATATTTCCATCTTACTACAAATTACAACGGTACACGAAAGTTACTAACTCAAAAATATTCCGATTGTCATGCATCGTAATACCGAATTATACAGGGTATTCCAAAACATTCCTCGCAAGTAACTTAACCAGAAACAACGATTTAAAAAATAAATTGAAATCGGATAAATAAAAATAAATCAAATGCTCAAAATATGTTTATTTTTAATCAAATAAAAGATGAATTATATATATTATGATAAGTTGAAAACAAACTGAATTTCAATTTCAATTCGTCAAAATGTGTTAGCAAAGCCTCTTTCCTGTTACCCAGTGATTGAACGAGCTTGTTATGTATTGTACGTATGTATAGGTATGTAATTAATTACTACAGGACTATCAAGGTAAGTAATTAATACTTTCAATTACCAGCATTTGGATTAATTATTTAAGGGATAGAGCTTGTGAGCCTTACAAATGTAGAAATATAGGGTGGTTTATTTGTACTACAAAGTTATTTAACAATTGCCGGTTGTTTCAAAATATTAGAGGTGACTGTCTTCCCACAACTGGCTGCAGACAGCGAAAAGCAATAGGAGTTGAGACGCTATGTGTTCAGGAGCTCAACTCCAAACCCATAATTTCATCTTCTGTAACGGCTACCTAGCTTGACGTTTGTGTTTGGATCGTGTCAGATAGATAGGATATCCTCAACACTTTTTGAAACTATATATTAACCATGTTGTTGTTGTCTTCGCGGTAGGTATTTTGGTGTGGAACAAGGGGGTGGCCGTCCCAGATTTAGCATCGATAGACTAGAGGGAAGGCAGATAATCAATACTGTTACGTCTCCGTTAGTTAGTTAATTTTCCGTAAAAATTCTTCCCCAATAATTTTACCGATACAAGTCCTTTCTTAAATAAAACTGGCTTATTCTTTCTGAATACAACTTTGCGATACACTTAATTTCAACATTCGCTCTATAACAAACGCTATAATTCACAACGAACTTCTCACGTGCTCAACAATATTCTTACTCATTACCTCACGTTGCTTTTTTGGCCGGTCTTATATATATACAGGACTACCCCAATCTAGTAGTCTCCCGACATTTCATGAAGGTTCGAGAAGGAAGTGGCGTGATACGAGCGTCACGTGACCTGCATTGTCATAACAATACCATCGACTACCTACTCATGGGCTACTCTTTTCCTAACGAATATTGAGATTGACCTTAACATTACATGCACTTACACAGGAGGGTTTCGAGGAGGTTCAGTCTAACCTCTTGTTTTTCGGAGGTAAAAAAATTAAGCTTATAAGTTATAGCACATCTGCTTATGGTATTTAACGTTTCCTGCATACTCTACATTCTTCTGATGAAGTATTAGCATTATTTGGCCTGAAATAGTCGGATGCAATGGCTTCTGTTGACACTGTTACGACAGCGGAAGTCACGTGACACTAGTAACACGTCATGAATTTCTAGAAGGATCCTGTCCCTTCCTGAATGCTTGAGCGTTTACTAGATTTTGGTATTCTTTTATATATAAGACTGTCAAGACGTGACGGCAACAATGTAATGTGTAATTGAACTGCGGACAGAGAGAGAATATTGTTGAGTCGAACATGTAGAGACGTTCGTTGTAGAATTATAGTCGTTT